GCTGCTTCGTAAGCTGTTCCCAGAGCATAAATCAAAACATCTGGCAATTAACAACTAAAAGCTGTTACAACAGCTGGAGTTCGCCAGGATTCAGGGGAGCTCCAGCCAGAAATCCTTTCCCAGCTGCAGGAAATGACAGTGATACGGGATCTGCTGCACCAGCCGGGAGCTGCCCCATTTGCAACGATCCTCTCGTCCCGTGCACAGATCGGCTGGAATAGGAGCTCGGCACCACGCGGCACACACGGCACTGGCTCAGCAAGATGCTTTGTGCTCAGCTCGACTCATCTTTTGTCATCTGGTTGAACCAGCCTAGGTTAAGTCTCGGCACACACGTGTTTTATGAACCATTTAGTCCAAGTGTAGCCAGAAAAAAAAGCACTGGCAAGCATCAGAGACACGGCTGCGGAGCGGTGTATGATGAGACCTGAGGGTGCGTAGTCCAAAGCTAAGCCTCACCTTCCAACATCATACAGAGCTACCACCAGCCTTAGTAAGGATTTGTTATTTTAGTAGTGGCCACAGGTGCTGGAACCCGCCTAGGTAGCTGCAGCTCTTCCCTGCTCACTCCTGGATCTGTTTGGCTTTGGGTGGCAGTGGGGGAAACTCGGAGGTTCAGCACATCGGGATGCTGGCCTTGGTATCCAGCACTACGTAAGGCAGTCCCAGCAGTTCAAACAACCTCGTTTGCCCAGTGCAACTGCTTGTGGGGCTGCCACATCCATCAGATCACCGGCAATCAAAGATGAGCTTAAAATAAGCTTCAAAACGTAACCAAGCACAAACCCTGAAGGTTGTTTTTAACCCAGATCTTTTTGCTGATCTGCGTTACAGCTCGGCCCCACAAAGAGCTGCACCAACAAGGAACTGAGGAAGAGACAAGCGGCAGCGCAATTATGGGAAAAGGAGCCGAGGGTGGAGGGGGTGTGGTGGAAACTTCACCGCCAGATCATGATACAGCCTTTCTACAGTGCTGGGGCTTAGCACATTTTTGATTTTTGGCAGCAGAATTCAACTCTCCTTGACCACCAACTCTTTAACATTGACTCTCTTTAAAGACTTTCTGCAGAACAAGACAAAAAAAAATCCTCAAAAAAAAAAAAGATAATAAACTAGGAAAATCACTAAAAAAGTGCTTATAAAGGCTACTTTTTCTCCCCTCTGTAGTCAAACTGATGCATTGTTATAGTGGTTTATGCAGGTTGACACCAGGCTGGAGCAACTAGAGCAGCCCACTGTTGGTCACAGGTGACCTCCAAGACACCGGATCTGGGGTGACTTGTGTAAGGGCAGAAGGACATCAGAGAGGCCTGCAGTAGACAACATCTTGCACATCGCATTGGAGGCTCTTGGTCAGTGTTAACAGCTCTGGAGATCCCTTTCCCTCCCCCAGAAGCTCTTTTCTTTGAAGCTTGTTTTGTTTAACTGCAGCTATATCAAAGCCTGCAAATTACAAGTTTCAAGTCAGAGATCTCATTAATTTCAGCGGCAAAAGCAAATAGCTCTAATTACCAGGTTTAGATGCTGCTCTTCAGAATGTTGCTAGGTATTGATACCCAGGTGTCAATTGGTTCTTCTTTCATAGCACATCCTCAGTGTTATCCATGCGAGTTTGAATTAGTTCCTTATTAGAATAAAATTATGCTATTCCAAGTAATTCTGCATACCAAATGCTTCATCATGTTCAGGTGGGTTAAGATAATATAATAAAATGTAGTATCAGTGTCAAAGGAACTGGTGAAGGACGTACACAAAAGGAGGAACTCAGCTGTTCCTCATAACCGATAAAGAGGTGGTAAAAAGGAATAAAACCAAGTGGAGCATTACGGACCCTGATTAAAAACAAATAGTAATAAAATGTAGAGAATAAATGAAAACTCTGCTCTGAAGGGCTGAAAATATCCTGAGGAGCAAACACTTTTCAAGCTAATCACTAAGAATGGGATTTCTCTTTCTAGAAGTTCTGGTGTCCTTAACAGGCCAGCGCTTACATGGCTCCTCTCCATCGTAATTCCTGGAGCTGCTTCCTAGTTGGAGGCAGGCGCTGCCACACGCGAGACGAAGAGGAGCCCTCTGCAAGGGCAGCCCTCTGGAGTTCCCTTGGGAGGAAGGAATGGGGATGGTGTGAGAAAGTCAGTCACCAAAACGCGAGGGCTGCCAGGAACACCTTAGATCTCCACAGAGGGTAAAACTTTATTTTGATATAAAAATTAAATAGCAAAGTTTTGTGTTTTTTTTTTACAGTGATAAATTAGAAATTTACAGTACATACATCCAAGTAGCTATGTTTTCCGCACACCCCCACGTAACAAAGCTCGGAAGAAGCAGCCGACCTGATTGTGCAACGTAGGAGCGACGCTCGGGCCCCTGCGGCCCCCGCGGGATCGGGGAGCCGGCAGGAAGGAGCAGGGATCCCGCGAGGAAGGTGCCGCCGCGGCGTCTCTCCTCCTATAGCCGCAGCGGCGGTGCTTCCGAGCCGGGATTAGTCACACATTTTTTTGGCTTGCAATTCCTAACAGCACTGAAAGGAGAGGACGCCCGAGCTGCAGAGAGCTGCTCGTCCCGGCTCCCCGCACTGCGACTCCCTGACGTGGCTCCCCCTCGCGAGTCCCGGAGCGGGACACGGGGAATGGCTGGATAAACGCGCGGAGTGGGTGAGTTGCCACAGCAGGAGGCAGCAGACCGGCACAGAGAGCTTGGGAAAACTGCTCCTCTGGGAACAGCTCGTGCCTCTCTCCGCACCGCCTCCGAGCCCTTGGAGAGGAGAGCTCGCTCCTGGTTTATCCTCCCAGCTCCCTCGTGAGGCAGCGCGGTGGCATCCTGGACCCAGTAATTCCAGCGTCATAAATCACTGGGACATCTGCCTGGAGCCCAGAGGGTCATAACCGGAGAGGCAGGGATCTGAATGAAAATCCTGAATGAGGCTGAAGGACACCTGGAAGAACGTGGCACCCTGGCCAATGTAGGGTTAGAAGAGGAGCCTCACACGGTGCCTTCACCCCCCACAAGCCAGGATGTGGCTGCTGCTCCTGCAGCCCTCGCCGCGGTGGGGAAAGCTCCACCATGCAGCAGCTCTCGTGCACACAGAGCTTCTTGTCCACGGAGCAGCGGCCGGGTCCAAACGCGGCTCTCACAGCGAGAGCCTCTGCAGGGAGGATCGGGAGGCACAGCTGGCACGCGGAGCCGGCCAACACCGCGCGCGCTCGGAGCAGAACGTGTCAAGTTGTCACTTGTTCTGCTAGAGAGGGAGCCCAACCGCAAAGACTGCAATTAGGGTTTGTTTGGTTATTTTTTTCCTCTCCAAATGTGCTCCAGCACATGTTTCAACATTGACATTGAAACAATACACGCTTCTGGGACAGATTAGTGCTCACGGCCAGAGCTGGAGCGAAATGTGGTTTGGGAAGCACACGGGGCACCTGTACGTGCAGCGAGGGCTGTAACGAAGCAGCGCGGTCTCAGCTGCCCCCAAGGTCACAGGAGTCGGGGCATGGCGGGGACACCCAGCAGCTGACCGGGCTCCCCACAAACAAACGAAGTAAAAATTCAGTCAAAACCAAAGATCCTTCAAAAGGGATCGAGTCCCTGTGCTCAGGGACTACGGATATTTCCATCACACTTCTTACCAGCCAAACAAGCCCCACACGCAAGGTTCAAGCTCCCCATGAGCACAACCGGCCAACTAAAAGGATAAAAGAGCTCAACGTTGGGTATGAAATAGCTCTGTCCCTCAAGACGTTCAATCTCTTGTCTTTGGCTCCCTTCATAAGGGCTGAAAATGTCTCCAGTTCCTGGCGACTGAGGCCTGCCCTTGCTCTGTTCGTATCTATGGGCTAACAAAACTCCGGAGGCGTCAGCGAGCAATGGGAGCATCGCTCTGGGGCCGTCAGCTCTGCTGCTATGTCACGGGCTGAGAATGCTCTTTTAATTGCAACCGACACACATAATTACACAAGTGATCTGTGTGAACACGAGGCTGCCAAGGAACTGAGCGTTTCGCCTGGCGTCGGCAGAGATACCATCGCACTGAATGAAATATATTAAGACTTAATTGCTTCGTGCAGTGGATCTCCAGAGAGACACAGATAAACCCACATGGAGGAGACTGACACCGCTCTGAGGAGACCCTCCAAGCATTTTTTTTCTTTCTGCTGTAGGAAGGAATACTAGAACATAAGACTTTATTTAAAGCTATCAAACGCAGGGCAATAACGTAGTCTGCTGGAAATAGCAGGAGCACCTGAAAGGGCAGGAAGAGGCGGGTGGGTAATGGTGATGGATGCAGAACAGCGCACACAGCTTCCAAGCTCTCAGTTACTCCCCTGCTTCTGCTAATGGCCTTGAGTAAAGAGCGTTTTTTTAAAAAATAAAAATAGGAAATGTTGATAAAATCATAAAGTAATTCAGGTTGCAAGGGACCTTGAAAGGTCTAAATTTCTGCTCAAAGCAGGGCCAAAACGGATCTGTGCAACGTGCAACACTAATGGGAGCAATAGGATTTCCCAGGGTGGAAAGGCAAATTCCTCAACGGGAACTTCCTTCCCGGTGCTCAGCTAACTGAGCTCAGGTTAACTGAGCTCCTGGAAACTCCACCTTCGGACACGAGGACCTTAACTGGGCCCAGGATCTGGCCCCTGCCTGCCCTTCCACCATCAGTAAGAAGACTCAACAAAAGCCCCATTCCACACCCCTGGGACAGCTACAGTCCTGCCATTTCTAGAGACTCCAGCATATGCATCCTGCTTCAGAAAATACAAATAAAAATAATGCATTTGTTTTTTTTTCACAGCTTTTAAAGCCTCCCTGGGCTTTCCTATTTTGGGCAGCATATTTTTATGGCTATTGCATTTGCAACGTGACTTTTTTGTTGCTTATTCTTTAAGGCTTTTCCCCCTTGCCTCCCTCGGAGACAGGTTCCACATCTGCCTCGCTCCGCTCACCAGCCCTGGCCCTGCAACGCGTCCCCTCCACGTGACGAGGGCACCGGGGAGCCCGGGGCGCCGCCGTTCTCACACCACCGTCTCGTTGCCTTTCCCGGGCTTCACCCACCCGTCCGCTCTCTTCTCCCGCTTCACTTTCCCTGAGTTCACCAGCCTGTTCGAGCACTTCTGCCACGTGTGCAGAGTTTTGGCCGACCAAATCCACATGCCCGACGTGATACCCACCAGGAGGGACATGAAGATTTTGAGCATCTCCACGGCCATGTTGGAATCATCGGCCGAATAGCGGAAAACAGCCCAGTTGGAGATCTCATAAAAGTAACACGCGATGACACACGTCGCTGGGACGGTGTACAGCACTGAAAAGACACCGATTTTGACCATCAGTCTTTCCAGTTTGTCAGTTTTAGTTCCATCTTTCTGAAGGTTAGACCGGATTTTAAATAAGGCCACCAATCCGGCCGCAATGAACAGCGTCCCGATAACCAGGTAGGTAAAAAGCGGCGCGACAACGAAGCCCGTGAGCGCGTCCAGGCTCTGGTTGCCAACGTAGCACAGGCCGGTGAGCTCGTCCGCGTCTACTAGTCTCATAATCAGAATGACTATGGTCTTCACTGCAGGGATGGCCCAGGCAGCAATATGGAAATAGGAGCTGTGCATTTCTATAGCTTCGTGGCCCCACTTGAGTCCTGCCGCCAGGAACCACGTCAATGTGAGAATGACCCACCAGATGGAGCTAGCCATCCCAAAAAAATACATCAGCAAGAAAATTATAGCACATCCTGTGTTCTTAAGACCTTCTTGGATAAGAACAGGTTCTGCTGCCTCTTCAAAATCACAGGATATCCTTTCCCGGCCCACAGTTAGCCTCACAATATAAGCAATGCTATAAATATTGTAGCACATGCTCAAAAATATGATTGGGCGCTCCGGGTAGGAAAATCTGGATGAATCAATCAGGAAGGTCAGGACTGTGAACGCCGTAGATATGAAGCAAAGACTAGCCCACACGGCCATCCAGATATCCGTGAATTCCTTGGCTGACCTGCTGTAGAGCCCAGCGTCGTAGCCACACTTGAGGACGCAGTTCAAGCTCCTTTTGACCCAGATGTACTGGTCTGAGTTAGATCCCATGCTGTGGCATTCCTCTCCGGGCTGCAGGGACGTCTTGCTGTGGAGGGGAACCTCTTCGTCTCCCGGGCCCTCCATGCACATGTGGTTGTGATCGTTCTGGGGAGGGAATTTGCTGCAGTTCAGGCTTTCCGGCCAGGCGAATCCGAATTCTTTCAGAACAGGTTCACATCTCCTTTTGACGGAGAGGCACATGCCACCGCAGGGCCCTATCGGGATGTTAATCTTCTCGGTGCACATAGGAACATAGACCGAACAAAGGAAGAACTAGGAGAGGAAAAAACAAAAGTCGCAGCTGAGTTAGAAGAAAATTACATGTATATATAATATAACAAGTTCTCTTTTTGTCTTTTTTAGCAGTAATATTTGGTTGCTTGCCTTGAAAAACAGGAAGCAGCATAAAACAAATAAACCAAGAACAATAAAAACAAAGGAGAAAAAAAAAACTAAAAAAAAATTGTCTCCCTCTGGTTCAGAAGTGGTCCGAAGCCAAAGCCTGAGCATTTATTCCCTAGATTAGCACCATGCAAATTCAGTGCATCGATTTCAATAACGTGAGCAGAGTTTAGCCAGACCTAAACCTCAGGGGTGCAATTTTTGAGGAGAGAAAAAAAAAAAAAAAAAAAGCAAGTTACAGAAGCAGTTTAAACAAACGTGTCTATTTGTTCGGGGCACTGCCTGGGTCTCGCAGCTAGCGAGCAAACGGCAGGAAAGGCAGCTGGCAAAGTCACGACTCTCCTGGAATAACGCGGGGTGGATTTGTTTTTTTTTTTTTTTTTTTA